CCCCAAAACCCCAAAACCCCAAAACCCCAAAACCCCTTCTTGGACTAAAAAGATTGAAAAGATTTCTTAATCTGAAGAATAATCAAACTCATAATCAGTAAGATCTTCTGAGCTCTCAGTCTGAGAAGATGCTGGTGAGAGTGGCCAGGGCTCATTACGGCTCATGTAATAGTCATACATCTTGTAATCATCCTGCTCGTTTAATTCTATTAAATTAAGGCCAAAAGTTACTCAATGCTTGATGATAAAGATCTTTGTTATAGATCTTCATATTTCGTAACCAGTTTCAAGCGCTACGCTTCTTTGTACGACGGAAGCTTCTCCAAACTTTTTCAAAATTAGCCTGATTCGTGAAATTTTGGGTGATAGCAATAGTATCGTCTACATTAAGAACTACATGCCACCATTTGCTTGGAAGGAAGATTGTATCTCCCTTATTTCTGAACAAATTCATACTTTTTCTTCACAAGCCCTGATTCTAGTAGCTTAGGATAGATATTTAGCACATGATCTATCGCAGTGTAGTTGTCAAGGTTCTGATCTGTTTTAAATTCCTCTCCTTCAACGACAGCTCTATCCATGTCAGGTTCAAACAGGATCCATCTCTTGTGGCCAAAGAGAGAGGTGTTCCAGGCTGACATGCTAAACGGGTCGTAATGAACATAACTTCCTGACCTGCGTGGCCCGATCAGGAACCAATTGTAGTCAGGTTTATATTTCTCATCAAATATCTGTTGGTAATCCTCCCTGAAATATTTAGGTACCTCATAATCTTCCAGAAGTCTCTTCATTTCAGGACATTTGTGCAGATTTCTATGGAACAAGTACATGGGTGAATCATCATGGTTGAAAACCATATACTGGAGGTACTCCTTCAACTTGACTGTTACTGGAGTTCCGATTTCATCCTCCCCAATTTCGAAGTCGACTTCTCCGAAGTCTTCATAAAGTTGCTTGAAATTCCAGGATTTCATTGCCGGCCAGTCGTCAGCTCATCCTTCGATAATTACAGGTTTATTTGGGATTTGGTAATTTTCGATGAAATCTTCGACTGATAGATCGTCTCAATGAACTCTGGGGATGTTCTCCTCAGGATCAGTGAGATACCGACCCATAGGAGCCCCTTCTTCAGTTGAGTTATAAATACTAGCTAGTTTGGCCTTTTCCCAGTCTTTTTCGCTAAAATCAGGTCTATGATATCAAGAAGTTTTTACCTTATTAGCTTCTTTTTCTCTTTAAAATTTTGTTTGACTTGCTGCCTTAACAAATCCAAGTCCTGGAATTCTTCAAACTGGTCGAGACCATACGCCTTGACTAAGGACTCATCGAATGGCATAGAAGGGATTAATGGTTCCATATCTTGGGGATTAATATTTTATTAAAATTGGGGTTTTGGGGTTTTGGGGTTTTGGGGTTTTGGGG